CCACTCGCTCTCAGCTCTGCCTTCGGATGAGTCCGTAGAGTCGAGTGGCCCGTACCCAGAGCTTGTTGGCTGCCTCATGTACCTGATGACCTGCACACGACCTGACCTTGCATACCCTCTTAGCATTCTCGCACGCTATGTTGCTCCTGGGAGACACAGACCGGAGCACATGGCTGCAGCGAAGAGGGTGTTGCGCTACTTGTGCAGTACGTCGGGCATGGGGCTTGTGCTTGGAGGGTAGAGTCCAGTGGTCCTCACTGGGCACGCAGACGCTTCTTGGGCTGACGACCAGGCTACGCAGCGGTCGTCACAGGGTTACACCTTCAGCCTTGGTTCCGGCTCTGTTTCGTGGCGGGCTACCCGCTCGTCTTCTGTTCTCGGCTCCAGTTGTGAGGCTGAGATCTACGCCGGGGCCATGGCTGCACAGGAGCTTCGCTGGCTCACCTACCTGCTGACTGACCTGGGAGAGCCGCCTCGTTCTCCTCCAGTGCTGTACGTAGACAACAAGGCCATGCTGGCCTTGTGTCGAGAGCAGAGACTGGAGCACAGAACGAAGCACATTGCTCTCCGCTACTTCCTTGCTCGTGAGCTACAGCAGCGTGGTCAGCTGCGGCTTGCGTACGTGGCCTCTCAGGCCAACACTGCTGATATCTTCACCAAGGCACTTGCGCCTTGTGATCATCAGCGCTTCTGTACTCAGCTGGGTCTTGTGCCTACCTTGCCTCACTTGCTCACCCCTTGACCTTGTTTGTACTGCTGCATATGTATATACACCTGCTCTTGCTTGTCTAGCCTTATATATATATGTAATCCTGCATGTGAACTGGCCTTGTGGCCTTGAACTTGTGCTCGGAATGTGTGGTGACTTTGTGATCCACCCTGAGCTTGCTTTGCTTTGCTTGACTGGTCTTGTGACCCCTTGTTCTCCCCCACTTTGCCTATGGGGGTGTGTCAGATTTATATGACATAGCTACTGTAGGCTATAGTGGGGTAGCACATATGGGGTACAGTTTTCTAGGGTTTGTATTTGTACCCAACTTTCCCTTAGTCAATTCATTCTCGTTCAGTTTCTCAACCTCAAAAGGCCTGAAGTTGAACACATGGCGGAACTAGACCGCGCCCTTCACTACCTCGTTAGTACTCCGACGATCGGCCTTATCTACTACAAGAGCAAAACTACAACGCCCAAGCTTATCGGGTACGTCGACGCCGACCACGCCGGAGATCCTGACAACAGGTGTTGGAAAAACAGTTGAAAGTTAGAAACGAGAAAGAGGGTTTGCACTAGCAGGCAGTTGAGTACATATAGGAAACCCTAGATTGGGCTGTACTCACTATTGAGTACCCCACTGCAAGCTAGACAAATATAACATTCTGACACACCCCCATAGCCAAAGTGGGGTGTAATCAGCACAACAAGCAAAAACAAGCTCAGGGTGGATCGCAAAGTCACCACACATTCTGAGCACAAGTACAAGAAGTAGCAGTTTATAGTTCACAAATACAAGCAAAACTAGAGGCTATCGCAGAGGGCAAGTGAGGAGGAGGAGGCTGGACTAATAGGAAAGGAGAGAGGAGGCAACGGCGGAAGCTGCAGACACACGGGCAACAGGAGCGGCGCGCACTGTGGCTACCGGAGGCGCACCTCCGGACTACAGGAGTAACTGGCTCCGCGGCTAAGACGAGCGGCAGGAGCAACGGACCCACGGGCGACTGGCGCAGCAGCATCACTGGGCTACCGGAAGCGCACCTCCGGACTACTAGCACTGCTGGCAACACGACGGCTACTTCCCTTCAACCTCCCCCACTGTCGCACCCCCCTTTCACACACCCCCCGCTGCACCCCTAGTTTCACTCCCACACGACACACCCCCCTATTGCCACTCCATCGTCTCCCACACACCCACCCCCCTCAGCGGCAGCTGCAGCAGTGGGAGACGGAGGAGGAGGAGGAGCAGGGAAGACCGCACACATCCGTCACCCCCATACCCGCCACCCCCAAACCCCAACACAGGGTAGGGCCGCAGCAGGGGCGGCAGCTGGGCAGGGCCGTGACGAAGACAGGGGCAGGGACGGGCAGGGCCAGGGTAGGACGGTAGGGACGGGCAGAGCACCGCCGCGCGCCACGGGGCGCACGACGGGCAGAGTAGGGCGTCGCGCGGCCCCCAGGGCGGCGCGACGGTCAGAAAACCGCCGCGCGCCTCGAGCGCGCGGCGGGAAGAAAAATGGCCGCGCGCCATGGGCGCGCGGCAGGCAAGCAGGCAGCGCGCGCCCGACGCGCGCGATAGACAGAGTAGCAGCAGCGAAAGTATTGGGTGGGCCCATCCACAGGATCGACCCGTGAGGGTCGACCTGCTCTGATTCCATATTGGAAAAACAGTTGAAAGTTAGAAACGAGAAAGAGGGTTTGCACTAGCAGGCAGTTGAGTACATATAGGAAACCCTAGATTGGGCTGTACTCACTATTGAGTACCCCACTGCAGGCTAGACAAATATAACATTCTGACAACAGGCGCTCGCGCACAGGCTACATCTACCGCCTCGAGCCTATCGGACCTATTTCATGGCAGTCGAGCAAACAAGAATTAATCGCTCTCTCCTCAGCCGAAGCTGAATATATCGCACTCTGCTCAGCCACCAAGGAAGGACTGTACCTTCGCGAACTCCTGGAGGAAGCGAAGCTGGCCCAGTTACCCAGCTTCTCCCTATTCTGCGACAACCAGTCGGCAATTCGCATAGCCAACAAAAATGGATTCGCGAACAGGACGAAGCATATCGCTCTGCGATATTTCTTCGTAAAGGACGAGATCGAGAAGGGGAGACTTGAGCTGTCTTACTGCCCCACATCCGAGATGGCAGCTGATTACTTGACCAAGAAGCTCGGAAAGTCGAAGTTCGAATATTGCATGCTGCTGACTGGACAGAGCCACGTCACCAGCAGCGACACTCCAGAAGCGAAGGGGAGTGTTGGAAACAACTGATCTAAGCGCCTCTGTCGTGTCGAAACACCAAGACAGAAGCGAAGCAGATCGTATCGAAACATCGGTGAGTCAACCCTCGGAGGTTGAACAACTGTTGGAGGTTACGCGAAAGTCAAAGGTCAGCGACCTTTGACCTGACAAATGCAGCGCGACAGCAAGGACAAACAACTGTCTCGATACTGAGCTGTTGCCCGAGTCGACACTGTATCGAACCGCAACAGCAACAGTAAAACAGTTATTAACCGTATCTTTTCATATTCCCTGTATTCTTATAAAAAGCATGTATCTCTTTGTTATTAATCAATCAACTTTGCCCTCACACACTAGCGCAAGGTGGTTCACAATCCTTTTATTAAACGCTTCCGCTATTACATCATCCTACCCTTGAATTCTGTCCTGCAAAGATCCTAAGGGCTTTTCAGCCCAACACAGACAGCTTGTGCGAGCACGCGGAAACGGTCGCGGATTCGCCCGTGTTTTACTGTTTCAGCGCATATGAACCTTTGAGAGATGGCCAGATTAGGGCCGTGTGAGTCGCACCCCTTCGAAGCAGTGCCGAACCAGCGCCGCAACTAGCCCGAACAATTTTCGAACCTAAACACCCAACAAGCTGACGGAATTTTGTTCAGAAACAAGTCAACCCTAAACACCTTGTCGCAGAGTGTTTAGGGTTGATTTCTCCCTAAAAGCATGCCATCCAATAAGGGTTTATTGTTGTGGTTCGAAAAATAAGATCTAGGCTCGTACGCAGGTTCGGACCTACGTACTAGGGGTGCGACTCACGCGGCCCTAATTCGGCCACTTCCCTGCTAATGTTCGGCCCCTCGATGATCTCTTCCCTTCCCATAATTGCATCAACAGCCAGTCACAAGTATATCCGTTCAATTACGCGTAGCCACGTGTACAGACTATGTTTTCCATCTGTCCCGTCCCGTCAATCACGCCCCACCCTCTCGCGCCTTTTTTTTTTCTCGCCACTTGCTCCGCTCCGCTCGCTCCTCTATTCCTCGCATCGCCAACCCTGTCTCACGCATGCACACATGGTACATTCATAACTAACTGGTAACTAACTAGTATCTTCCATCACATTCTATTGACATACGCACCCCACTTTGCAGCGGAACAGGCCGGCACCCCTCGTCTCAAGAGAGTTACCGAGGCATCGCAAAATGTTGTCTCAAGGGCACTAGAATACTTGCGCATCAGCGGAAGTGGCGGAAGCGGCGGAAACGAACTAGGCCAATGCAGCTTCACTGCGGTAGGATGGCCCGACAATGTACTATTCTACTGCAATCTAGACCGTTCTCGCGATCCCTGCGCGCACCGCGTCGCGGCCGCCGTTCCGCCTAATGGCCTAGCACTCCCTACCGCCGCCTATTGCCGCCTAGCTCCGCCTAATTCCGCCTATCGCCGCCCCGCGACAAGTATTAAGGCGCCTCGAATCTTAAATATCGACGCCCCGCGCTGCGTACCTAGGCCGATCATTAGGCGCCTCGAATAAAGACACCTAGTGCTGCCCAGCAGGCCGATCCGTAGGCCCGTAGGCACCTCGAATCTCGAAAATAGACACCTGCACCTACCTATCGACCTCCGATGGCCTAGTGGTGCCCCCCCCAACAGCGGTGGCCCCCAAAACCGCGGAATTCGGTCGGCGCGGAATCGTCAAGGTCTCCCGGCGCCTGCCGCGCGTGCAGCGGACTCCGCTCCGCGCACCATCGTCTCCCCCGCTGCCCCTCAGCTCCCCGCTTCCCCGCGCCCCTCCCACTCCGCCCCCTCCGTACATTTCCTTCCCCCCGTCCTGCTCCTCTCCCCCTCCCCCTCCACCGCCCCCACCGTCCTCCCATGGCGTACACGCGGTGCCTTTCTCTGCCCGTTATAGCGGGCTTCGCTTTAATCGCGTTCGTCGCGTACACCGCGATCTTCCTCGTCGTGCAACCCTGGCTAGGACTAATCACCGCCGCAGGTGTCCTTAACGTCGCCGCGTTTTGCGTCTGGACCACCATGGTCGTCTTTTCCTACATGCTCTCTATTTTCCGCGATCCGGGATCGGTCCCCGCGCACTACGTTCCCGACGCGGAGGGCGACGCGGAGATTAACGCGGAGGCGGGGAGATTAACTCCGGTGCTGGTGGAGGTGAAGCGGAAGGGCGGCGAGGCGCGGTATTGTCAGAAGTGCGGCGCGTACAAGCCGGCGCGCTGCCACCACTGCCGCATCTGCAAGCGCTGCGTGCTGAGAATGGTGCGGGGGAGAGAGTTGGGGGGACTGGGGGGTACGGGGAAGGGAGAAGAGGCGGAGAAGGAAAGGTTTGGGGAATAAGGTGGGGGAGGGAGGGGGAACAAGGAACGAGGGAAACCTGGGAAGGAAGGGAGGGCGAAGGGGGAGAAGAGGAGAGGGGGAGAAGAACGGGGGGAGGTTGGAAGGGGAAGCGGGAGTGTGCAGTGAAAGGGGGAGGGGGAATCAAGGGGCGCAGATGAGGGAGGGGGAATGAATCACAGGCCACGTCAGTGCTGACGTGGCAATGGGGGGAATGAAACGTAAAAAGCCATGCTGGGCCATGCCACGCTGCCCTTACTCTTTCTCCTCACTCCCCCTTGCCTCTCTCGTTCTCTCTGGCCGTCCCTCCCAGGACTACCACTGCGTGTGGATCAACAACTGCGGGGGCCACGCCAACTACAAGGCCTTCTTCCCGTTCTCGTCCCCCCCCCCCCCCTCCTCCCCTCCCCCATTCACCTCCCGCTCTCTCCTCCCTCTTTCTCCTCACTTCCCCTTGCCTCTCCAATTCCCTCTGGCCCTCATATCAGGACCACCACTGCGTGTGGATCAACAACTGCGTGGGCCACGCCAACTACAAGGCCTTCTTCCTCTTTGTTCTCTATGACGTTATTGCTCTCACTCACACCGTGGTATGGTACCCAACCACCACCTCTTGCTCACATCACACTGCGCTAACCACCTTTGCTCACTCATCACAAATCTCCAAAAGTCACTCACACCATGATATGATATCCACCTCTCTCTACCACATTAGCACACGCACACCGTCCAGTTGAATCAACTAGTCCTTTTGTGACCCACTCACATGAGTGCATGCCAGTGCTGTGTCACTCGGTCAGCTAAAACCCCCTCTCTCCCCCCATCCCCCACCCCTGCAAAACCCCCTGACCCCTGAATTCCCAGGCTCTTCTCATTGCGTTCTTCATTTCCTCCTGGTCTGCTGACCCGCTCCCGCACTCTTCCACAGCCCATCTCGACTCCTCAGCAGCATCAACAACAACAGCAGCAGCAGCAGCAGCAGTGGCGGCAGCAGCGGCGGCAGTGGGGCAAGAGGCGTATTCCCAGCCGGCATTGCTGCTTGTACCCTCCCCAGTCACCTGCTCTGTGCTCCGGGTCAGTGGCTCGTCATTCTCTCCTTTTTAGAGCCCCCTCTATAGCTTTGAGGTGCTTCTCTAGTCGCCGAATATATTACTTTTATGTCGACTCATGCGTCAAGGCAAAAGTCGGACACTCACATTCTCCAAGAACCATTCACGCACACCGTCCGCCTAAGCACCAAGTGCCACCTCCGAACCATTCTCTTTCCAACCTCGCCCTTTTTCCCCGCCAGGCACTGTGCTTGCTTGTGAGTCTACCACTGCTGATCGCTCTGGTGGTGCTGCTCGTGTGGCACTGCTACCTCATTGCCATCAACAAAACCACCATTGAGGTGAGCCCACCAGTCTTCCAACAATCCATCCAGTAATCGTCCCAGGAATCTCCCAAACACTATCCCCCTCCATTCCTCTTCTGTATTTCTCTTCTCTGTGTGCCTCTTCTTTCCTCCTCTTTGTTCCCTGTGTTGTGTGCTGTGTAGCACTACAAGAGCGTGAGGGTTCCAGTAGTGAGCCCAAACCAAACCAAGTGCTGTTTGAAAATCATATCAAGAACCTTTATCTCTGCTTCCCTCTTCTTCCCTCCTCCTGCCTACCCTCCGTCCGTTCAACATCTTCATTCCATGCCATGTGTGCAGCACCACACGGTGTGAGGGTGCATGTGACTGGTGGGCCCAAGCACACTTGCCTCTCTATTTATCTGCTTGCGTTCTCCTTCCTCCTCTTCATTCCACTCCACATATGCAGCACTGCGAGGGTGTGAGGCCGCAACTAGTGATGAGCCTAAGACTAGCGGTGTTTTGAGTCGAATCTAAGAACGCTTGTCTCTGCTTCCCCCCCCTTCCCTTTTCTTCCCTACCTTCCGTCCCTCCTCCTTATCCCACTCCATGTGTACAGCACTATGAGGGTGTGAGGGCGAGACTAGTGAGCCCAAGACCAGTGGTGCCAAGTCAACCACCCCCCTCCCACCCATACGACCTTGGGATCATCGCCAACCTCTCTGCAGTAAGCACTCGCAAACCTTCCCCCTCTGCTTCCTCCCACCCATACGACCTTGGGATTATCGCCAATCGCTCTGTTTTAGGACCGCTGTGCTGGCTGTGTCCCAACACATGCTTTCTACGTAATGTATTCCATTGCCCAAAGCACCTCTCCCCTTCAATTTCTTCTCTCTTCCTCCTCACTTTCTCCCCCTCCCTCCTCCAGATCCTAGGGCCAGAGGCGCTGTGCTGGCTGTGTCCCAACGACACGCGGCACATCTCAGACGGTCTGCACTTTGACACCGCCTACTCCATCTCGCGCCGCTCCCAGCTCTCTCTCGACCACCACACCGGCCACCTGGACCATGTAGACCGCCTATTATAACTGAGCAACTCTGACTGTCGCTGAATGCTTCTGATCGGCTGCATGCTCTGTGTGCCTGCCTGCCACAGTGCCTTTTCTCACTCAGTGCACCTGTGTGCGTTATGAGACGGATCTGACTTACTCTCTGTGTCTGCCCCTTGATCCTCCTCCTGCCCCAAGCTCTCACTCAACCACCTCACCACCCACCTTGGCCATGTGAACCTCCACGATGGGTGCGCATAGTTGGCTTGCCTGCCTGTCAGTGCCCTTTCACACCCATTTGCACCCATTCACACAGAGTGATGGCACATATGACTGCAGCCTGAATGATGTAGCTGCCATCACCACTGCAGATGCAGTGGGTGGAAACAGCACAGCATGCTCTTGCTAGGTTGACATCACTGAGGGGACACTACTCACCTTTACCTTAACTGGCTCCGAGTCATAGACATCTACTGTCCAGAGGTTATATTGGTTCATTTAAATGCATAATTGCATTCATATACATAACCACCTAGAGTCCATCAATTGCTGGTGCATTGGCTGTACCCGGTAGTGTCAAGCAAAAGCCCTGGGATGAAAAAAACTCAATTACTGGTGCACGAGCACCGGTCTTGCATGAGTCTGGCACCAGCTGGGCAATTCGTACATTTATTTAAAGCCTCGTGTGTGGTGCTGTTATCTACCAGCAGCGTTAGCCATGCACCAGTCTGGCAGCCCAGCCTCCTTCCTCCACGGGTCATTACACCTCTTATACAACAACACCTGCTCGCACCACTCACACAGACGCACACAGAGGCACAGACACGCACACAGCACGGGAATCTCTGGGTATAGAATTCACAGGGGAATCCAAATTTTACTAGGTGACTCAAGGATACAGCTCGCCGCCTGAACTGATATCTCCAGAGGTTGTAGCACCTGTTGCCCACCTCTGCCCTTTGCCCCTCCCCTTCCCGCACCTGTACAAGCATAGCCAAGGCATCGTCCCCCCTACATGCCCTCCATTGCAGGCATCCACAGCTGCTCCCTCCCTTCCCCTCCCTGTGCGCCCCCAACCCCCAATATCACTCTCTCCCTTTCCCTCACCTCTGCCCATCGCCCATCCCCCATACCTGTAGAAGCGTGGCAATGGCAACGTCCCCCCGCATCCCCTCCACTGCAGGCATCCATACCTGCAGCCTCCCCCTGTGTACCCCCTCCCCCCTGTGTTCCCCCTTCCTTCTTTCCCCTTCTGCCATACCTGTAGAAGCGTAGCGATAGCATCGTCCCCCCGCAGGTCCTCCATTGCAGGCATCCACAGCTGCGGCCTTCCCCCGTGTGCCTGCCTCCTGCCTTCCATCCTTGCCACACTCGCATACGCCCAGCGCTGCCACACTGACTCCACTCCTGACAGAAGCTCCTGCACGCGGTTAGGGGGGATGGCCTGCTGGGCGGCACGGGGGACGGGTGGAAGGGGAAATGGGAGGTGGGTATCCCTATTGCAGCCACACGAGTTAAGGGGGGTGGCTTGGTGGGAGGGACGGTGAAGGGAGTGGGGGATGGTGAGTATGAGAGGGCGGGATGGGTAGAAGGTTGATGCGAGGACCGAAAACGTGAGAGGCGGTGTCTGAAAGGGCGGAATGGCGAGGAAGTTTGACGTCATCCACATGCCATCCTGCCTCTCTTGCCCCTCTCTCCTTGCCCCCCGCCCCCTCGCCCTCTCCCCTCTCTCGTCCCTCCCTCCAACGCACCCTTAGAATGTCCACCAGGTGGGGGATATCATCCTCCGCCACGCGCACAGCAAACTTGGAGTAGTTGAGGTGCCTCTCAAACGCCATCCACACACCGTCCTGCACGATGACGGGGATGCACCCGTGCAGCATCGCATCCTCCATGCGCGCACTGAAGCCGTCCCCTGGGAACACTCCGCAGAAACGAGATGCGGCGAGCTGTGGATGGGTGGGGGAAGTGAAGGGCAGCGTAAGGGGAGAGACTGAGCCCACCCCAACACTCTCCTTCTGGGTGATCCCCCCCCAACGCCGTCCTGCACGATGACGGGGATGCACCCGCGCAAAAATAACATGCTCCATGCGAGCACTGAAGCTTCAGTTCCTTCCAACTTCCATCCTGATCCCCCCACCTCCCCCCCCTCCCTCCTCACCTGCTTGCCATACTCGCCAGTGGCTCTGTTGGTAACCACCACGTCCTCCTGGTGCTGCCGCCCCAGCTGGCCCTCCTTGTTGGGAGACGACGCGAATTCCTCTGCCACCTTCTGCCGAATGCCCATGCTGTACCTGAGTGTGAAAGGTTGGAGAGTTGGAGGAGTGGGGTGCGCGGATGGAGTGGGGGTGGGTTGGGGAAGGGGGGCGAGGGAAGAAAGAAAGGGGAAAAGGGGAAGGGGGAAGAGAAGAAAGAAGGGGGAAGAGGGAAGAGGGGAGGGGGAAAGGGTTAATGGGGAAAGGAGGTAGGAAAGGAGGACATAAGAAGCTGGGAAGCATGGAGGAGCGCAACGTGGCTTCCTTCCACCCTCCTGTGATTCAAGCACCACTCCAAATTAACTTTCTCTTCATCCACGCAAAATGGTTTTCCTGAACCATTCCATAAGGGTCCAGTGAAAAATATATCCGAGTAGATTCCAGTACCCAAACGTGCAAGATGTACAGAGCCGAGCGCTGGGATGGGATGGATGGGATGGGATGGTAAAGAGCTAAGGTTGAATGGAATGAAATGGAATGGAATGGGATGGGATGGAATAGAGCTCACTTGGGCTCCACGCGGCCGCGCTCGAACGCACTGCCGAGGTTCCCGTTGAAGTAGAAGAGCATGGGGCGGGTCTCCAATGTGCTGCACACACAGCACAACGCATGCAGACAAGCGCACAGCACAAGACAACGCACAAAGCGGAGGAGAGGGAGATTGGGGGATTGTTGTTGAAGAGCATGGGGCGGGTCTCCAGTGTGCTGCACACACAGCACAAGACATGCAAGCACGGCACAAGGTATGTGTGAGGAGAGGGCAGTGGGGAGAGGGCGTAAGGAATTCTCGTGGAATTCTCGTTGAAGCAGAAGAGCGTGGGCCGAGACTCCAGGACGCTGCGAGCACAGCACAGCATGCAAACATGATGTACCATGTGCCATGTACCATGTGCCATGTACCATGTGCCATGTACCATGTGCCATGACCCATGTGCCATGTACCATGTGCCATGTGCCATGTACCATGTACCATGTGCCATGTGCCATGCTCCGATGCATCATGTGCCATGTGCCATGCTCCGATGCATCATGTGCCAAGACCCACCCCATGAAACCATCCCACATGCACAAGCACAAACCCACGTACGGAGATTTGATCTTCTGTGCCCGCGCCCACACACCAGGAACCTTCCACGCAGGCATCACCACATCCTTCTCTGGATCAAAGCACGGATGGTCCCCCCGCACACTCTCCTCCATTACACTCCAATCATCATGGTAATATGCGGTCGTACACCCCTTGTGCGTGGTCCCTGTATTCCCCCAGTGTGCCAGCATAATGCTGCTCCAGATGGCTTGAGGAGCGTAGCACGCGCCTTCATCCCACGCGAACATCCATATGTGGTCCTTGCCTCCGTGCCGGTCCCAGAAGGGGTGGTGGGTGCGGATATGGGCGAGGGCACGGAGGTAGAAGTCTGCTACTAGGTTCGGCCGCCGGGCCTTGAACTGACCCTGGAGGGGGGGGATGGAGGCAGGGTGGTGGGAGTGACAAAAGGGGGAGGGAGTGAGTGAGGGAGTGATCAAATGGAGAGGAGGGCGAGAAGGGAGGAGCGAGTGCAAGGAGGGACGGTCAAGGAAGGAAGGAGAGATTGTGGAACGGACAGAGGGCACTTTTTGAGTGCCTCGAAAATCATCTCAATCCTGAGGTGCCTTTAAAAAAAAAATTGCCTCCAACACCCCCCTTCCAACCTCCCCTCTCACGTCCCCTCCCTCTTCTCTCACGTCCATGAGCACTTTCCCCCTCCCCTTTCTCCCCTTCCCCTTCCCCCATTCCCCATCCCCCTTCCCATCCCCTTCCCTTCCCCCGTGAGCCACCATGCCTCCATGCGGAATCGTGGAGAGTCATCAGAGCGGGCAATGATGCAGGCGCCCAGGAGGGGCACGTAGAAGAAGTGTGCATCTAGCACGTGCGCATGCATGCACGCATCTCCCAATCCCATACCTACCCCCTCCCTCTTTCCCGCTTCCCCTCAACCCCCCCTAGTGAGCCACCATGCCTCCATGCGGAATCGTGGCGAGTCGTCAGAGCGGGCAATGATGCAGGCGCCCAGGAGGGGCACGTAGAAGAAATCCGCACTGTCCCCGTCCAACGTGCGGTGGGGGCTGCCTAGAAACCCCTCAAACACCGCTGTCTGGGGGGAAGGGGGTGTGGGGAGGGGAGGAAAGGGGGAAGGGGGGAGGGGGAAGGGGAGGAGAGGGAGGTTGACAGAGAAGGGTGGGGTGCGGAGGAGAAAGGCAGGTGAGAAGCGAGTGGAGAGGCAGTGGAGATTGGGGGGAGAGGGAGATGGGTATGTTGGGAGGGTGGCAGACTGCTAAGCCATAGAGCCATTTGTCATAGCACAGGGTGTCCTTCTCATGGCTGTATGCCCCTGGCTCTCAAGAGTGTGTGGCTGTGCAGCATTGCATGGAATAAGCAGCCTTCATAGTGCGGAGCGGGCGATGGAGAGGGGGGTGAGGGGAGGGGGAGGGGGTGATGGAGAGAAAGGGGTGAGGAGAGGTGGATGGGGAAATGTGGGGGGTTGGCACACCTCAAGTCCATAGAGCCATCCGTCATTGAACAGTGTGTCGTTCTCATGGCTGTATGCACGTGGCCCACAGTAACTCTTCCACTGCCGCGCCTGCTGTGTGCCATGCCATGCCAAAACACCCATGCCCAACATCCCAACCCATACCATCCCATCGCATACCATGCCATGCCAGGCCATGAGTGCCATGAAACAGAGACATGAGTGTGAAGAGGGAAACAGCACGGGAAACAGCACGTGATGTGGAAAGGATCACACTGAGTATTTGTAAGAGTGGATACTGCACTCACCTCTAGATTGTGAAAGGTGAACTCTGGAGGCAGGTCATATACATAGATGAGGGGTCGGGTCCGGTTCACCATGGTCCCTATCTCTGCCACACGTGTGCTCTCCGCTTCTGCTGCTCCTCCTACTACTCCTCCTCCTCCTCCTCCTGCTGCTGCTGCAGGAGCTGCTGCTGCTGCTGCACCTTCAATACGGCTGTTGTTGCTGTTGCTGCTGCTGCTGCTGCTGTTGAGACCGCTTGCCTCAAACACAATAGATGAGCCAAAGGAATCAGGGGCAGAACCAGGGTTCTGATCAGGGTAATCGGAGGAAGAATCGGGGTCTGGTTGGTGGGGCAGGGGTATGCGCAGCCACTCGGGGGGATAGAGGTCGGGGGGCGAACGCACTGAGGGAATGCTGCAGTCAATTCCGTAACGGTCGCCCTCGCACTGGCAGCACATCGGGGGTGGGGGGGTGGAAAATCAGGGGTTGCGGGGATTAGGACATTTGGGTGGGTGGGAGGTGGGGGAAATCGGGGGGTGGGGAGGTGGGGGAAATGGGGGGATCGGAAAATCCGGTGGGGTTGGGGATTGTTGGGGGAGGGAAGGGAGGGGTTGACTGCAAAAGGTGTGAGGGTGGCTAGGTGAGTGAACGAAGGGAATCAGTCATTGCCATATCAGCCGCCCTCACACTGATAGCACACCACCCCCCAACATCCATTCTCACCGCACGCACACCACCCCCCAGCACCCATTCTCACCGCGCAGTACCCCATGGTGCAGGTGCCAGCACGTGAGCACTGGTTGATGCAGAAGCTCTCTACTGTGGCCTCGCACAGCCGCCCTATCTGCCCGTCATAGTTGCAAAAACACTCCGCCGCTGCTATCTGGCTGGGGTGCGCTTCACACCATGCCACACGCCTATCACTGGCAGCATCGCTGCCGCTGCTGCTGGTGCCGCCACTGCTGCTGGTGCTGTCACTGCTGCTGGTGCTTCCACTGCTGCCGCTGCTGTCACTGCTGCCGGTGCTGCCACTGCTGCTGGTGCTGCCACTGCTGCTGGTGCTGTCACTGCTGCTGGTGCTGTCACTGCTGCTGCTGCCGTCACTGCTGCCGTCGTTGCTGGTGGTGGTGGTGGCAGTGGTTTGGGGCCCGTATAAGGGGGTAACGTCCGGTTTGTGGTAGAGAATTAAGCCACTGGTGTGGAGGTGGGAGGAACCGGGGGGGGTGGGGAGCGGGGGAGGGGGGAGGGGAGGAGGAGGGATGAAGGGCAAAGGGGGGACGAAAGAGAGAATGGGAATGGGTAGTTGGTGGTGCTGGGTTCGCATCTTCAACAGGAACGAGTATGAGCAACAAGCAAGGAAAAGACAAGCACAGCTCGAAGCTTACTCAGGGGCCTTGGGGAAACCGCAAGGCGCGACAACAGGGCGGTCAGGGTAGCTGGTGTTGGGCCCACATCGGCACTGGGCGCGGCGCAGGTCACAGTGGGCTGCACAGATAGACACGATCCAAGGCCCTAGGGGGTTCTCAGGGGTTGCTGGCAGGTTGCACGGGTAGTCCTCCGTTTGAGAGCAGTCCGGGCCTGGTGGAGGGAAGTGAGGAGGAGTGAGAAGGAGGCGAGTGGCTGGTGCTGGGTGGGTCTACAGATGGAAGTAACCCCGCACACATCGGCATTGAGTGTGGCGCGGGTCACAATGGCCAGCACAGATAGACATGGCCCAAGGCCCGAGGGAGTTGATGTTAAGTCTCGTAAAACTCATTGCGCGGCCTTGGGTTGTGCTCCTCTTGAGAGAGGTTTGGGCGTGAGACTTTGGACTCTACTACCACCCAAGCCCTCACGGTTCCTCAACAGCCTCTTTCTTCTGTCCCTCCCACCCAATGCCCATGGAGACAACAACTGTGCATTCCCAGGCCTGCTAGAATACCACCTGCACTTCCTCGCCTCCTCTCCACGCACGTACCGGTATCCATGGCAACTCCCACACACACACAGGTCAGCCCCCCCCTCCCCCCTTCGCACACACCGAAGCTGTTGCTGCTCTGCAGCAGCAACTGCTGCTGCTGCAATGGGCGGACGGAGGAGGTACTGAAGCCACTATCCTCCACTTGCTACTTAAGCCCTGCACACTCACCGGTGTACCCGTGGCGGCATCTGCACTCCCCAAACTCCGCATTGCACACGCCATTGCCGCTGCAGTCCCCAGGGCACGTGCGACCAAAGGCAGGCTGCAAGCACGAGGCAAGGAAACACAACGCACAAAGCACAGGGCAGGGCACAGGGCACACACGGCACAAGGCACTCACTCCCAGCCTCCAGCTGCCTTGGTAGCACGAGGGGACGTCCAGGAAATATATTATTCCTGACTATGAGGATGAAGAAGTCACATCCAAAACTCGCTGCTGGCTTCCTGCTTCCCTGGCAGCAGCAGCAAGCCAAGCAGCAAATTCGGCAAATCCTTTTGAGACAACTAAAAATTCGACTGGAAAAAAATTCCAGTGAAAAAAAAAAAAAAAAAGTTCCACTCGGGAGCGGAATCCAATAGCAATTTTAGGCGATTCCCAAAAACCTTCATTCTTACTTGTGAGCTGGCTTGAAAGATCCAAAGTAGAATGAACAGCTATTTCAGGCTTTCAGCCCAATTATCCAAGGAAGCCCTCGTTCCCCTCTCCGCTCGCTCAGCTCCTGGTTACCACACGCACCTCATGGTTACAACACGAACTTGTGCCTACAATTAACAACACCCCTCTTCGGTTACCACGCACAACTCCCATGGTTACCATGTGGTTGCCACACTCACCTCATGAACAGTGACAGCCAAAGCACTGGGCGGCAGGCTCTTCAACCATGATCCCACGTGGCCTTGCCACGGCGCTCCTCTGTGCCACACGGTGCCACGTGGGCTAGATGACGTGGCAGCTGCACCACTCGCATCAGCAGCAGCAGTGGCAGCAGAAGCGCCAGCACCCCATGGTGTCCCAATAGCTGCGGCAGCATCAAATACTGATGCTCCATCTGCTGCTTCACCTTGTCCAATTGTAACGAGCTTCTCTGTTCATGCAGCACACACACACACACACACACACACACACACACACACACACGCACACACACACGCACACACACACGCACACACACACACGCACACACACACACGCACACACACACACACGCACACACACACACACACGCACACACACCCACACACACACACACACAAACACACACACACACACAAACACACACACACACACACACACACACACACACACACTCACACACACACACGCGCAAGCACCCACACAACTTGGGCAAATTACCCTCTGGAAAGGCGTGCCAGCAGTAACTTGAGAGGGATACATAGATGACATCCGTTAGGCCAGAGAATGTAGTCACCTTGTGGCACGAAAACGGCACGCATGTATACCAGCGGTATGAGTATAACGACGAGATAAGAACGACCAGATTACTATGTTCGAGATACGATATATTTACCAGGCCGATCGTTCCGATGGTTGTCGGGTTGTGCCACGTCTGCATCGGGCGGCGAGAGGTAGAGGAGAATCTGTTGCGCAGTGGCGATCAGGGCGAGGAAAACGACAACCACGCCCACCACACGCGCCACCCGTTGCAACCGGGCGTTATTCCCACCGTCATTAAACGATGACGAGTGATAATACGCCCGTGTTCCTACAACGAAGCCTCCCGAATCAGACCTGGCCAGCTGATCACCCGAACCAGAAGCCGAGGCTCGGATGTGGATCGACCGGCGAGCGGAGGACGGGATGGGGTGAGACGAAGTCGCCATGACGCTAAAGGTATTCACAGAATCCAATTCATGGAAGAATGGGTGGAGGCCGGTCCAGAGGTGTCCAGAGAGGTCACGTCAGTGACAGTAGGAGACGAAGCAGAAACTGGAACGGGGGCAGCCGCTTCACGTAGAATATGATGCTTTTCTCTCGCGATTCATGGTTCAAGGCGACGCGCATGGACCAAGGACCCCATCGAGCCTTTAAAACTACTGAATTCGGCGATAGAGGTAAGGATCTTCTGAATTCTAAATGCGCTCAGCGGTGCAAGATCACAGACCACGGACGCCTGGAGATGCGAGTGAGGAGAACAACACGCTCATGTCAGCAGGTATTCGGCCACGTGGCAGCACGACCGAGCACGCTGACGTCAACTGGACACGCATGAATTCTGCTGCTGCTGCTTATACCGCGAGCGAGTAGGATGATAAGGCGAGAAGGAGAAAGGAATAAGGAGAAAGGCGATATGCAGTGAGCAGTTTATGATACAACAATGCCTGATCTGGTTTGGTCAGGAAAACTGGAACAGAATGTGTGCAACCGCTGGCTTGGGAACTCCCTTGGCAGGCCAGTTCAATGCTGACTGAAAAACCGCGGTATAGACTGCTTCAGCACTTTGGTCGTTCATGTTTGTTCATATAAGAGGGCTTCAATAATGTGAAACCCTTGGCAGCAATTCTTGAGGTGAAACAAACAATTGTGCAAGCCGAACCCATGAGTGAATGAGTAGATTACTACCTATAGCAACTAATTTAGGTAGTAGAATTATTATGATTATTACTCTCAGAGATATATGTCAAATATCATAATATCTTGCTGTGAGTAGCATTGTAGGGAGTACAACACATTTCTATGGTTCCTATTTGTATTGCTCCCATCCCTAATGCACTCATTCCGCTGTTACATTCTGAGATGGTATCAGATTAGGTAGCTTCTAGGGCCTACCTCAGTCTGTTCTCCGTCTCCCTGCCCGTCTGTCAGAATCGTGCTCTGCCCCATTTTCTGTGGCCTTACGCGGTTCGATACGCCGCCCACCATCTGAACCTCTGGCCTTGTGTCTCACGACCAGGGGATTCACCGACCAGTATTTGGACCAGGTCCCCTGGTGTTGCGTCGGAGTTTGGAGTCTGGGGCTGCCTTGTGCTTGTCCGCGACACCTCTTCGAACAAGCTCTCGGCTCGCGCCAAAGCCGATTTCGCTCTCTGGTGCGTAAATTGTGCAGTCGGCTAGGCTTCGTGGTCAGCACTGATTTGAAGGAGAAATTCGGCGGGCTTGGTTGTTGACTTTGGAGGAACCACAGCGAAGCCGACTATGGCGAAATAAATCACGGTAAAGCCGACGAGATGTTGATCGGTGAAGTGAAGTTGGCAGACGGCGTCGAGCCTCGACGGTCGACGAAAGTTGTCGTCGACATAGCGCCAACTTGCACATATTGACCAATCGTTCGTCATCGGGATCGGCTGAACGGCTTCTTCTTGTCGGCCATGTACCTGGTCGGCGAAGTTCTCGGGGGCGCAAACTTCGTCCTATGCGGTTTTGGCGAAGTCGACCTGCGGGACGAGCATGACGTGCATGACTTGCGTGCAACCGTCTGTTGTGCAGACCTGCACCTGCTTGGTATGTGCGCATTGCGGAGATTCACTCTACAATGGTAGTGAGCTAGACTACGGGGGTTGGCACAAACTACTAGGAGTGATCGTAGCTTTGCCTAGTTCCTTAGTGCTTGCACAATCACAAGAGAAATCGGAAAGAGTTTCCACTAGCAAAGTTGGAATTACATAATGATTGAACAAGCAATGACTACATCAGGCACCTAGCAATTCTGCAGCTAGCCTGGTCGACCGACAGCACAGCATGGTCGACCGCCTGCCAGCGTTGCATAGAGGAGTCGCGCCAACACTGCAAAAAGGCGACCTGCCAACACAGCAGGTCGACGGTGTGCCAACGCTGCAGCAGAGCGGCTGTCCAGCGTTGCCCCGTAGAAGATAGCAGTGCGCACGCTCGCAGGTGCGCGCAAACGATTGGCTCGACTTGCACCGTTGTGCATCCGTCGGCTGTTGTCTGCGCTTGACGAGCCACATCGACTTCGGGATACCAACCCGAAGTCGCCTTCGCCATCGCGACCTCGACGACGCTCGCGTGCCTCTGCAAAACTCGCCAAGCAGGTTACCCGATCGACCTGGACAACCCCAGGTGCTGTGGTCGACCACCAAGTGCCTCTGGTCAACCACCGGGTCCCTCTGGTCGACCACAGCTCCCGTCGAGCTACCCCTTGGTCGACGGACCCCTTCCATCGATCAGAATTGTCAGCTCTTGTCGCCGAGCTCCCCTCGTCGACCGCTGTTCACTTGTAAGGTCGACGGACTGCTTCGTCGACCTCCCGGTCGAACTGCCCCTCCTGGTCGACGGCCCACCCGTCGCCCAGACCAGTCAGTTGCAGCTGTCGAGCTCCCTGGGCGACAGCAACACCGCAGCGGTCCCCTGCAGCTCGACGAAGCCTGTCGAGCAGCTGTCCCACTGTGAACGGTCGGCTGCTACTCCCGTACATCCGACCAAGTCGTCGGCGTTGCCCAAGCGAGGGCGGGGCCAACACTCCATTCCCGTTAACACTCCCCTGCCGCGCTCACGCTTGGGCCTCCAGCCCACAGGGCAGTACTCCACGGAGAAAACTCGTCCTCGGCGTGCACCCCACACACAGCACGCAGTCACCGCACCAGCCGTGCAGAAGGGCACGGCACCTACTGCTGCACATAATCGTCGCCGTCGCCGACGTCGGCCAGACGAACTTGGCTAATGGCGACAGAGCACCGATTGAAAGCCGGAAAATGCAGCGCCTTCGTCAGGAAGTCTGCCGGCTGCTCGGTGGTCGGGATGTACTTCAGTACGAACTTCTCGCGCCTCACCATGTGCTGCAGCCAGGCATAGCGTCGCTCCATGTGCTTGAGGTTGCCCGTCAGCCCCAAGCCTTCAGCGACCGTAATTGCCGACTTGTTGTCGACGCGGAGGATGGTCGGCTTCTTAGCGTTGAGTAGCTTGAATTCCGCAAGAAGGAAACAAAGTCGGCGTCCCTCCTTGCCTGCATCCGTGGCCGCCACGTACTCCGACTCGGTCGACGACAATGTCGCGCACTTGATGCGCGAGCTCGACCAGAAGACGACGGCCCCTCCGTAGACGAACACGTAGCCTCCCGTGCTCGTCCGGTTCTGCTTGTCGCCCGCGTCGTCGGCGTCCACGCAGCCGAAAAGCTCCAGCGACTCTGGTCCACCGCCGAACTCCAGGGCGGTGTCACGGGTGTCAGCGAGCTAGGCGAGGCAGCGGTCGACCTCGCGCCAATGCTGGTCGCTCCTCACCGTGAGGCCGCTCCCCAGCTTGCTGCAGGCGAACACAATGCCCGGTCTCGTCGTCGTCGCCACGAACTGCAGCGAGCCAACCTTCTGCCGGTACTCCTCCTCCACGCGCTCCTGCGCCTCCTCGTCGTCGAATGTCAGCTCGGCGTAGGCATCGACCGAGACCGGCGTCTTCGGGACTCGACCGCCCTGCTCCTTGTCGATGAAGCGCCTGCGCAGCTTGTCGGCGTAGCCCTGTTGGTGAAGCCACAGCTTCCTCGCCGGCCTGACGCGCACGATCTCCAGCCCGAGGTACTTGACGACCAGGGAAATCTCGCGCAGCTCGAAGGCAGCCTCCAGCAGCTCCTTTAGCTCCTTCAGCATCGCGAGGCTGCTGCTGGCGGCGAGCAGGTCATCGACGTAGAACAGCACCCAGCAGGTCACTCCGTTGTTGCTGGCCTTGAAGTAGAGCTCCTCGTCGACCTGGCTCTTCTTCCAGCCAGCGCCCAGCAGCACACCGTCGAGTGCCTTGTACCACAGCAGCGGCGATTGCTTCAGCCCGTAGAGGCTCTTCAGCAGCTTACACACCCGGCCAGTCCCATCGACGAAGTAGTCCGGCTGGTACATGTAGAGCACCCTGTCGAGCTTGCTCTGCAGGAAAGCGTTCTTCATGTCGAGCTGCATTAGGTCGAGGTCGAGGATGGCGACGATGCTGAGGAAGATCCTCAGCGAGACGTAGCTGCTCACCGGCGAGTACGTCTCGTCGTATTCGGCACCGCACACCTGCGTGATGCCCTTCACAACCAGCCTCGCCTTCTTGCGCTCGACGGTGTCGTCGATGCGGTACTTGGTCGTCAGCACCCACCGGTTCTTCATGATGTTCACCCCGCGTGGGCGTTCGACCAGCTCCCAAGTGCCCATGCCGATGAGGCTGCGGATCTCTTCTTCCATGGCGGCCTTCACCGCCTCGCCCTTCCAGCTCGCCATCGCCTCCTTCACTGTCATCGTGGCGATGTCCCAGCGGTGTTCGGGGCCGGCATGCACGTCGGGGTCGAGCTCCGGTAGCTCTTCATCCTCCTCTGCGTCGTCGTACAACATGTCGTCGTTGACCTCGTCGTACACAGTGGTAAAGGCAGCTGGCGGTAGGCAAGCGTGTAAGCTCAGCCGCTCCGGCGGCCGTCGAGTTCGACCTGTGCGTCGCAGCTCAGGCTTCGTGATCGGCCCCTCCACCGCGTCACTGTCAGTGGACTCTTCTCCTGCCGACAGCTCCCCTTCTTTGTCGACGGCCAAGTCGTCGACCAGCTGCTTCGAACCATCAACCAGCTGCTTACCTCCTACTGACTTTGACAGCTCCCCTGTCAACCGCCCCGTCTGCTGCTCCCCTGTCGACTGCACCCCTGCTGCTGCCTCGTGTTCGACCGGCTCCCCTGTCTGCTGCTCCCCTCTCGATAACGAGCTTGGCGCCTTGTCGATCGCGGGCGATGCCACTGGCCGGCGCCACAGGCGATGCCTCAAGGCTCCCCTCATCGCCGGTGGCCGACACAGGTGTCGACGCAGGCCGATCTGCGACGGGGAAGGGAGGAGCAAGAACAGGGGGAGGTGGAAGAATCTCCACAACATCCTCATCAGCAGGCTCATCGACTTCGGCGAGCAAGGGAACCGTCGCCGTCGAG